TCAGAAACAACTTCAAATTCAAAAATTATTTTTCAAAAACTCTCAAATTTTGAATTAAATCTATGACTAAACGCTAGCTTATTAAAGTATAACATGGTCTATTAGGCTTAAAATTTCCGAGTGGAAAAAGTCTCATGTCATAACAAAATATATGCTTTGAAGTGGTCTAATACTTAACTTCACGTGTCAAATTATACTCTAGTATTAGACCAAAGAAATTTATATTATAGCTAGTACACATCAAACCACGCTGTATTACATAATTCTATAATTAATTGTAGAAGAAATAATATATGACTCCTCTTATAGTTAGTTAGGGCTACACCATACTGACCACAAGTTAGGAATAAGAGTATATTCAAATACTAATAAGAATAGTATACTAATATTTTTAGTTCAAGAATTTTGAATTATCTAAAAGGAATACTACAAATAATATTTTCCTATCCATCCAAAGAAAGCATTCAAGAATAAAATAATAATGTATCATATAAAATTTGACTCTTGAACTATATAAGGGTAATGCTTAGACCTTGATACTCTTGAACTAATGATCTAATTTCTATGATACTTTTTTTTGTGATGAACACACCTTACAAAAAGGATGACTCTTAAGCAATAACAAGATCAAATGGATAAATTGATCCAGATTGTCAACTAGTTGTCTCATTTGCATTGTCCAATAGAAGCATTTTTGCCAATGACTCAATAAGTTGCTGATTTTTTTTCATGTACATATCCTCGATGCCATTTTTTGAGTTTGCTGACTTGCTCTCTATTCTTCAAAGAAAAATAGAAAATTATAGAAAAGTAAGTCGATTTTCATGGTTTTACGGCTTTAGCGGAGTTAGGACTAATAGAGGGAAAATATATAATTACTCTTATATATTATGGTAAATATTAAATGAGTCTAACATACCTAGAATAAAAAAGTAAATATAGTAGCTCTTAATGGGTTAATGGTTTATACCCGATAAGGAAATTGAACAATCCGCCCTCACATCAATAAGCGGTTAATTATAAGATTTCAATCAGTTCCCGAACTGTTTATTCGATAACTCAATACCAATAAGTCGATTTTGCTAACTTATCGGTTACAGTTCGATTCCGAACATCCCTAATTTCTAATAGTACAAGAATATATTTGATCCTTTTTCCGTTATTTTTATTACAAAAGTAGCAATTATCTTAATTAATATGGCTTAATACTATAACGACTTACTTTTCGTATAGATTAAAAACTTTCTCCATCATGTTTATACATTAAAAACCAAATGGATCTAAAAACCCATACTTTAAAGTACCATTTCACACCAATCTTACAAGAAACTCTCTTCATTTGTATTTCTAGAATATTACTCTTAAAGGATTTTTGACACACTCCAAGTCTAATTTTCACACATTTGTACTATTAATGACTGCCTAAAATAAGATGATTCTCAAATTGACAGCCATAATGTAACAAACAGCTTACCTTTTTAGCAAGTTATTTATGTCAATCTGCACATCGAGTGGGAAATTTTTTTAAAAAAGTTATGTACATAAAAAAAAAAAATAGTAGGATCCTAAATATATTGATCAAATAATTAATTTTAGTGTGAATTCAAATCTCGATTTCCAAATATATGTAGCTAGCTTTTGATTAAGATTTTGAAAATTTATCTTCAATTTTATGTATGACCATGAATTTTATTAAATTTTAAAAATTTGATCTTCAAATATTTTCATATTCCTAAAAACGGTTTGACTTCCACTCATGGACGGAGCCACCTTAGGCGAAGGGTGGTTTGGTGCATGTCCTTCGCCGTATAATTATGTGGTGTAAATAGCTACTTAAATGTTAGGTATTATGAGTATATATATAATTTTTTGCACATCTTTAACACAACTGGGAAGAAAATTTGCACTTCCTTTGCTAAATTCCTTCCTCTACCACTACTTGTACTCAAAAACTTCAAATCTTTTCAAAATATAATGCATGTCCAAACACAATGTCAAATTTCAAAAATGGCAACTTCAATAACTCAAATTTTTAATTTTCAACTTTAGAATCTATCATCAAACGAGAGCGTAATTTGGAAACATTTGCTTAAAAAAATAAAAATAATTTTTTTTTGGCATTTTTAACATCTTGATTCCGCGTTAATATTGATAACATCATGACTCTTTGACCTAGTTTCCAAACCTCCATACTATGAGTAGCATAGCAAAAACAATGCAATTTCATTGGCATTTGGCTCCACATGACAACAAATTTTGCCTTTTTTTAGACATAAGATAGGTCAATTGGAATTGTCACACTCAATTTCCTTAAATATTTATTTTGACGAGTTAAAAGATCATTGTAATCTTCATAAAAGAGCAATTGGGTCGGCAATATCCTCAACCATTAAATCCAAATTATATTCTTGTCCAAAAGAAAAAATATAAATATAATAATAATAATAATAGTATATTTTGTATAATTTTATAAACGAGCTTCAAGAATATGAGGTATATGTAGATATCTTCTTCTTTTTTAAAATTTTCATGGGATAAAAAAACTGTTTTCAATACCTTTTGCGATGAAAATACTTTTCAGAACAGTCTAAAGAAATACAAGAATTAAAATATTGAAGGGAAAAAAAATACTAATTAGTAAAATAGTAACGATATCCAAAGAAGACTAAATAATAATAATAATAATAATAATGATGATGATGATCATATCCTATACCTTCCTGACTTCAGAGTTAACTTACTATCAGTGTCCAAGATCACTAAGGAACTTAATTGCATGGTAGCATTCTTTCCTGACTTTTGTATGTTTAAGGATCTCTCAAATGGTCAAGTGAAGGGGATTGGTAAAGAACAGCATGGACTCTACATACTAAAAAGAGGAGGACCAACTCAAGCTCCAAAGAAGCTGGTGAATAGTAGTAGGAGTCCTAGTGACAAAAACTTTGATAAGTCTGTTACTAAGTCTACTGTTATACCTGTTACTTCTGATTCAGTTGATGTATGGCACAAGAGGTTAGGTCATGCACCTCTTGACATAATAAAGAAACATGAGTCTCTTAGGTCCTTAGATGGATAGGATCATTCCATTGTACAGTGTGTCCTGTTGCCAAGCACACAAAAATTCCATTTCCATTAAGCACTACTATGTCTAGCACTGTTTTTGAACTATTGCATTGTGATATTTGGGGACCTTACAGAGTGTGTACTTATAATGAAAAAAAGGTTTTTTGTTACAGTTGTAGATGACTATAGCAAATATACTTGGATTTTTTTGATAAACTCCAAAGCTGACTCCATATTTGTACTGAAACAGTTTCTTACTCAAGTTAAAAATGTATTCTCAACCAGTGTTAAAACTTTGAGAACAGACAATGGCTCTGAGTTTTTTAGTCACAACTTTCAGGCTTTATTAAGTTAACTTGGCATTGCCCATCAATCCTCTTGTGCGTACACACTTCAGCAAAATGGTGTAGTTGAAAGGAAACATAGGACCATTTTAAATATAGTTAGGTCTATTAGATTTCAAGCTGTTATCCCACTCAAGTACTAGGGTGAATGTGTACCTACTGTTATCTATATTTTGAACAGGCTACCTTCAAGAATACTTGGGTTTCAAACTCCATATTAGAGGCTTTATATGCATCCTCCATCTTTGTCGCATCTCAGGGTGTTTGGGTGTCTTTGCTATGCTACATGTCCTAAAGTGTTGCACAAGTTTTCCTCTAGAGCCATCTCAGTTGTATTTATGCGGTACTCTTCAACGCAGAAAGTTTATATCTTAGTTGATCTTCATGCTAAGTCATTTTTTGTAAGCAGACATGTGGTGTTTCAAGAACACCTTTTCCCTTTCAAGCATGTACAAGAATCATCAAATCCTATGTTCCAGTCCTGGATCTTCTAATACCACCAGATGACTCTGCAAGTGTCTCACTAGCTAATGCTTCTGTTAATATACCATGGCCCCAATGGCTCTAGTGACTCTAGTGGCTCCAGTCCAATCACCACCTGCTTATTTACATGGTTCCACTAGAAAGTCTAGCAGGATCAGCAGGCCTCCTCTCTGACTTCAGGATTTTGTCACTCAGCCCAAAGGAAATACATGTTCCTATCCTATAGCTAATCATTTTTCATACACTCATTTATCTCAGTCCTATCAACATGTTCTTCAAGCCTACTCAGCTTTGTGTGAGCCTGTGTCATTTCAACAGGCTGTTGTTGATCCTGCTTGGGTTAAGGCAATGCAGCTGGAGATAGATGCATTAGAAAGCAACAACACATGGAGTATAGTGGATCTCCCTCTTGGAAAGAAGCTCATTGGCTGTATGTGGATCTTCAAGATCAAATACCTTTCCTCAGGGGATGTGGAAAGATTTAAAGCAAGATTGGTTGCACAGGGTTTTAGCCAGAAGGAAGGCCTTGACTATGGAGAGACTTTCAGTCTTGTTGCTAAGATGGTGACTGCTATATCTATTGTGGCCCTTGCTGCATCCAGGGGTTGGTATATCTATCAGATGGATGTTCATAATGCCTTCTTCAATAGTGATCTTCTTTAGGAGGTCTATATGGTTATTCCTAGTGGGTTTTCCAGACAGGGGGAGACTCACAAGGTCTGCAAACTACACAAGTCCTTATATGGACTCAAGCAGGCACTAAGACAATGGAATATAAAGCTAACTAAAGCCTTGGTAGATATAGGGTTCAAGCAAAGTCATTATGACTATTCACTATATACTAAGCATACTGGAAATGATATTGTTGTGGTGTTGGTTTATGTAGATGATTTGCTCATCACTGGAAACAATCAACAACTCCTGGGTGACACTAGACTAGACATTCAGAAGAAGTTCAAGATGAAGGATTTAGGAGAGTTAAAGTTCTTTCTAGTAATTGAGTTCTCCAGGTCCAACAAAGGCGTACTCATGTAACAAAGGAAGTATGCATTCGAATTGATATTTGAGTCTGGCCTAGGGGGAGCAAAACCAGCATGCACACCTTTAGAAATGAATCAAAAGTTCACATCAATTCAATATGATGAGCATGTCAATGAAGGGATAGCTGAAGGTGACAACATACTAACAGACACTACAAAGTATCAAAGGCTGGTGGGAAGGCTCTTATATCTGACTATGACAAGACCAAATATTGCATTCTCAGTACAAGTCTTGAGTCAATTCATGCATTGTCCTAAGCAGTCACACATGAATGCAGCTCTTAGAGTAGTCAGATACATCAAAGAAGCACCTGGATTAGGCTTGTTAATGCCTGCAGAAGACACTACTAAACTTACTGCTTACTGTGACTCTGACTGGGGAGCATGTATGGAAACTAGGAGATCAGTTACAGGATTCTTGGTGAAATTTGGAGAAGGTCTAATTTCTTGGAAGTCAAAGAAACAGGAGATAGTTTTAAGGAGCTCAGCTGAAGCAGAGTTCAGAGTATGGCATTATGTACAGCTGAAATAACTTGGTTGATTGGACTATACAAAGAGTTGGGAGTCAAGGTAACCACACCAGTAAATATGATATGTGATAGCAAGGCAGCTATTCAGATTGCAGCTAACCCAATCTTTCATGAGAGAATAAAGCACTTTGACATTGATTGTCACTTTGTTAGAGAAAGAATCTGTCAAGGCATGCTGAAAACTCAACACATAAACACTAAAGACCAACTAGCTGATCCACTAACTAAAGGTTTGGGAAAGGTTCAATACACCAGCTTAATGAGTCAACTTGGAATGAAGAATGTGTTTCAACCATAAAGCTTGAGGGGGAGTGTTGATCAACATTGAAGATTAAGCAAGTTGTATGGTGTGAGTTAGTTAAGTTGTTCAGAATGTTCTAGAAGCTTCTATAGTTAGTTAAGAAGGTGGTTACAATATTACAGTCTATAAATAGATATTAAGCTACAATGTAAAGTGATCAGATTCAATGTAACAGTAGAATCATTCAGCTCAATAATATTTCTTCTCTTCTCTTCCTTCTGATTTCTCTCTGTAATTCAGTATGCTTCTAACCTCCATTAATGGAGTTTTAAGTTTTTTTTTGAACTATCATCAACTGTTAATTAAAATATATCTCAGTTATAGTAGTTTCATTTTTCCACTTGAACAATGATGATATTTTAAATGAGATAAGTATTGAAAACACCCTTAAACTTGGTATGAATTATTATTTTAGTTCATCAACTATTCACAGCCTTTTGATTAAGTGAATTTAAAAACACCCCTCTTATACCATATGTGTGTATATGTGAAATTTTCTGTTGACGTGGCGTACACATAGATATATGTAACAGAAAAATAGTTAAAGAATATATAAACAATTAAAGGTTAAGAATTTAGCAATTTAAGAAGATAAAATAACTTTTTTTCTTTTTAAAAATTATTTTTTCTTATCACCCCACCTCATCATCCCCTACCTAGTACCCCTAGCCTCACACCTCACTACCCGCCCATCTCCAAAAATATTCTTTTAATTTTATTTTAATTTGGATGGAAGAGGAGTGGGATAAGAAAAAATATATTTTTATTTTAAAAGTAATTTTTTTTTTTAGGGAGGAGGGAAATCGAGGTACTCGATGGTGTTGGATAAAAAGTATTTTTAAAAATTAAAAATTTTTAAAAAATTGGGGGTGAGGTTGTGGAGGTGGGTGGTGGGGTTGGGGTACTTGGGCAGTGGATGGAGTGAGTTAAAGAAAAAAAATTAAAAAAATTCTTCTTTACTAAATTTTAACATTTAGTTACTTAAATGTTTTTTTTCTTTTTTTTTTTTACTCATATCTATGTGTACGCCACATCAATAGAAAATTCCACATATACGCATAGGTGGATGACAAATGACTTAAAAGGAGTGTTTTTAAGGTTGTCAATAGTTAGGAGACTAAAATAATAATTCACGTCAAGTTTAAGAGTGTTTTCAATACTTATCTCTATTTCAAATAGGAAGAAGGAAACAACTTATAACTGAGGTGTATTTTGATAAATAATTGGTGAACACATGATAATTCCGATAGCAAACTTACAAAAATATGATACTTGTAAGTGGTCGCTTTGATGATAGGTGAAACTAATGTGTTGTTAATGCGCTCGGTCAAACCTAGTAATTTTTGTTCAAACTTTGAATGTATAGTAAAAAAAAATCACCAAATATATATAAATTACTAATTGAAAACAACCCAATAACTTAAAAAAACTAGAAATTCGAACTCATAAACTTCAAATTTTGGTTTGTCTCACGAACATTATCACTATGTATATATATATATATCCATCCTTTCCCCTTTCAAACAATCCCATTACTCTGTATTTCCCTCTTCTTTCCCTTTACACATCTCTTCATTTCTCTCGAAAGAAACAACAAAACTTTCTTGGAAAAAACAACAAATTACAAATGAAGACTCCCTTTTTCTCATCATCAAAATCATCTTCACATAATTATTCATCATCATCCACCTCTTTTTGTGAATCTTTAATGGAAGAAACAATACAAAATTCTCAATCAATTATCAAGAAATGGGATCTCGACGCGTCCTCTGTCTCTACCTCTACCTCTTATAACAGAGTCGCGAATCTCTTTCGCGACAACCCTTTAGAAGCCAAACGCCTTCTTGAATCCGTTAACGATTTACAACACGCGATGCAGCTCGTTATTAAAGATAAGTCCACCTCTAAACTACTCGTTCGAGCTCATAATCTCATTCAAATTGCTATTAAGAGACTCCAGAAAGAATTCTACACTATTTTATCGGGTAGTAGCTACTTTCTTGATCATGAAACGGTATCGTCATCAAGAGCTTCAAAATCATCTATGGAAGACGAAGTTTCGGAATCTGTCATGGCTGATTTGAAAGCCATTGCTGATTGTATGATTTGTGCTGGTTATGGAAGAGAATGCGTAAAATTGTACAAAGTTAATCGAAAATCAGTCATCGATGAAACTCTGTTTTACTTGGGGATTGAAAAATTGAATTCTTTCCAAGTTCAGAAAATGGATTGGGAATTAATGGAGATGAAAATTAAGAATTGGTTGAGCTCTGTAAAGATTGCTGTCAATGCTCTGTTTCGCGGAGAACGAATTCTCTGTGATTATGTATTCTCTTCCTCTGTAAACATTAGAGATTCGTGTTTCTCAGAGATTGCTAATGATGGTGCTCTTACTCTGTTCGTGTTCCCGGAAATGGTGATGAAGTTCAAGAAGTTATCTCCGGAGAAAATGTTTAGAGTCTTAGATATCTATGAGATTATTTGTGAGCTCTGGGTTGAGCTTGAATCGATATTCACCTTTGATTCAATGGCGGTAGTCAAAGCTCAGGCAATGGCATCACTGGGTAAGCTCGGTGATGCCATTAGAGCTATGTTGTCTGAGTTTGAAACCGCCGTTCAAAAAGATTCCTCGAAGGTGGTTCTTGGTGGTGGAATTCACCCGTTAACTCGATATGTCATGAACTATCTTGTTTTCCTTGGTGATTATAGTGGTGCGATTTCTGATATAGTCGTTGATTGCTCCCCTATGTCAATACAAATGTTGTCGGAGTCTTGCTACTTGAGTCCTACATCAGGGGACGGGGACTCTCCGTCCTCCCCCATCGTAGTACGACTCACGTGGCTCGTGCTTGTCCTTCTATGTAAACTCGATGGTAAAGCACAACTATATAAGGACGTAGGGTTGTCCTATTTGTTCCTAGCGAACAACTTAAACTACGTCGTTTTGAAGGTTAGGGAATCGAACTTGAAGCTCCTACTTGGATCCGAATGGATTTCAAAGCACGAAATGAAGGTGAAAGAGTACATGTCAAAGTACGAGAGGACAGGATGGAGCAAAGTAGTTACATCAATACCTGAGAATCTTACGACTGAAATATCATCGTCAGAAGTGAAGGAATGCTTCATCAAATTCAACTCGAGTTTTGAGGAGGTGTATCGGAAACAAAGTTCATGGGTCATACCTGACCCAAAACTCCGCGACCGCGTCAAAATATCATTGGCTAGTAAGATTATTTCGATATATCAAGCGTTTTACGAGACGTATCGGGGAGAATTGGACATCGAAACAGAGTCAATTATCCGATTTGCCCCTGATGATTTACAAAATTACTTATCGGATTTATTTCATGGTGCTTGTTTTTCGGATTCTAGTATGGGGTGGAGCGGGTCATATTCACCGTCCATGTCAACACCAACATCACAAGGTCGATAAATTATGTGTATTTGAAAGTTTACGAGACAAAAGAGAAGAGTTTGTGTAGATAAAACAAAAAAAAAATGATTTGTTAATTTGTATGTAATTAATTATGCATAGAAACGTTATACTGAATGGAACTGACCAACAAAACTAAATATATAAATCATTTTGTCTTTTACATATTTGTGTGCTTTTATTTGTTGTATTAAGTACTCCTATTATTTTAGTAGAGTAGTTGACTAATTCCAATGAAAAAATTAAAAGCTTGGACGGCTTCTTATAATAAATGTTCTTTTCGATAGGCAAAAAATGAACGTTACGATTGAGAAAGAAAAAAAAAAGATGTTTTAAAATAGTAGTTAAATTTTGGCATGACATGTTAGATAGTACCTAGACAAATGAAGATTTTCGTAGGGATCTCTGAAATAAATGGTGGTTAATAAAGAATTTTTTTATTGTAATTTTTTTGTATGAATACTACGTCGAACATTAAAACTTGTGATTGGTGGTAAAATACTGATTCGTTCGTTCAGACCTAATTTGATTTTCATAGAGTTTTCGAGATATTTTTTTATGAAGTTTTGTTGGTATAAAATTAAAAATATGTTAAATATAGCAAACTATTCTTTTTATTTTGTGATTTTAAATTTGTAGTGCTGAAAAGTTGTAATTAAAAATTTGCTAACAAGAAAAAGACATTCTTTTTAAAACGGATTAAAATGAAAGGAAACATAGTAATGGAGTATAACTAAGTTTAACAATGGCTATTTGTAAAAATTTCCAAAAAAAATAAAAATCGTTGGGAAGGATTGTTTACTCAAAAGAATGTCATTATTATTACCTAAAAAAATAAATAATATAAGGACAATATAATATTTCTAGGAAATAAATATATATGGACGTCATTATGTTAATGATTATGTTTACGTGTGCTTATACTGATAAAAGAAAACACAAGCGTTTTTAATTGAATGAAAATTCGTGCTCCATCTTAGATTTTTTGTTGACATGTTAATATTATTCTTTTGGAAATTTTAATAGCTCAGTTGATTATTTATGTAAATTTTCATCTTATTAGTAAAATTTCAATTTTCACCTTATAATTCTCTCGCCTATTTTCCTTTCCCATACACTCAATTTAAAAAATAAAACTCCTTCAACTTAGATATATTAGTAATACATACAATACAATATAGGTTTCAAATATTTTATTTTGGGTGAAAAGGACGCATCATATTTCTAAGGGATAATTGGATACGAAAGAAAATATTTTCCTAAAAATCCAAAGAATCATGAATAAGAGCATAATATAGTTGGAAAAAATTTCACCCCATCTCATTAGTTATACTATCTATATATACACAAGAAAATAACAGAATTCCTAATTCCCCTACCCAAATCCTTAATACATTAGGCCTAGAATTCCTATATTTAGCATAATCATAATTTATAATATACACATATATATTACCAAATATACATATAACCATTTTGTTTATAGTCAATACCCCAAGTGTTTATAATGTGACACCTTATTAAAGATATTATGAGTGGAAACATAACTAGAAAAAGTAGTTTTATCTCGAATATAATGACAATTTACTTCAATATGTTTGATTCGTTCATTAAAGGTCGAATTTCAGACAATATGCAATGCTTCTTGGTTGTCACCGTACAATCGGAGAACATAAAGAAACATTCTTAAACTATAATATCTCGTTTAATTTTATCCAACTCTTTTCGTTTCTCTTGTTTGATAAGGCATTTTGGAGTGATGAATTTTGTTTATTCATCACATAAGTAGTTCATCTTTAATTACTACTAATGAACTTAATTAATAAGATTGCTCTAAATATTTTGTAATCACATGTTTCTGAGGGTTATTTTTTTATTGAAATTTCTCATTTATATAAATTCAGTGACTATTTTCACAAATATTTTGATTGAATCAGTGTAAAAAAATAGGGTAAAAATCATGTTTTATCCTAGTGGAAAATGGAGTAAAAACAATTTCAAATACATAGGTATATTGATGAAATGGACTAAAAACGAAAAAAACAATTGAAACAGAGAAAATTGAAAATCGACTAAAACCTTGTCCTTTTTAAAATGGACTAAAAACAAAAAAATAAAAATTGAAAATATTGGTGAGAACGAAATTTTATATAGTTAAAACTTCGTAAAAGTTGCTCCCAATTTCAAGTACCTAGGTCTAAAACTTATGAAGACGTTGATAGTTCAAATTTAGGACATACATTTTTAAAATTAGGTCTTGACAAGCACAAGTAATATGTCATACTTGGAGCAAAATTAATAACAACACTTTGTGTACTTGTGTAAACAAAATTTGTCATACGTGAGGCAAAATTGTAACAAATAACATTTTGATTCTAAAAAAAAATAAGGAAAAGATATCTAATTCCTAGCATGACCCGGCCCAAAAACCAAAATTCCTATTATAAATACTAATTTGATCTATAGTTTGAAATAATTACATATTGTCTCACTAATTAATAATTTTATGCTAGACTTCAAGTTAGATACATGTAATCACACTAGATATATGTATATGGAACACTAGATACATTCTGAAATATAGATACATAGGAAGAGAGGCGATTGACAGAGGGAGAGAGGCAAGCGACAAAGAAGAGAGACAATTGTGATAGGAGAGAGACGAGCGAGAGTGTAAGTGTATCCAAGATACATGTGAATCACATTTGGATACATGGTATCTGATATAAGCGTATCTGAGTATGCCAGATACATATATCTAGCAAAGTAAATGTGGTACAAAAGGTAATTTCAAAAACTAGAGTAAAAGCACATAATTAGGCCTAGAACTAATGGAATTTGTGTTATTTTTTAGGAGAAACTACATAATTAGACATACTTAATTACCATATTTACTATTATTATCTATACTTTCAACATATTATGTATTTTATCACTAATTAAGAGTTTTCTACCATATATTAAGGAAGATGCATTTAGATACATGCATTTTTGTTATCAGATACACTAAAATAGGGGGAGATGCGAGCGAGATGGGGAGGGAGGCGAGTGAGATTTGTTATGATCCAAGATACATGTTAATCACACTAGATACATGTATCTGATGTGGTTCGCATGTATATGGGACACTAGATACATAAGAGAGTGACGATCGAGATGAGAGAGAGGCGAGTGAGATTTGTTATGTATCCTAAATACATGCGAATCCACTTGAATACAATGTATCAAGAACAAATTACACATAATTTTGACCTCATGTATCTTGAGATACTTGTATTTGAACGTATCTGATTGCACTAAAATTTGAGGAAATATGTTATATTGCAAACTAGAGTATATCTAAGTAATTAGCTCCTAAACTAGTGGAATTTATCTAATTCTCTGTTAAAAATAATTAAATAGGCCTAGATGAGTCATGAGTATTTTATGTACTTGTAAATTGGGTCTATTTTGATTAAGAGGCCCAAATTGGTGAGCCTAATCAATATAGCATGAAACACAAAATGAAAATGAAAAGCTGAAGAACAAAAAAAAAAATAATAATAATAATATTTTGTGGCTGCTGGGATTCGAGCCCAGGTCTCCACGGCCACAACGTGGAATTCTTACCACTAAACTACAGCCACTACATGACAAATTTCTCCAACTTTATGTATTTTAACTTCATCTTTGATATTTGATACTCTTTCTTATCAATTTGTTTGGCTTGATTCGATGTACAACCTTTAAACTAACGAATATTCGACATGGATTCAGAACTTTTTTGAAATAAAAAAAAAAATACATTATGAATCACAATATCTAATACTAATGTACAATATTTAGTACTAAATAATTTGAAAGAGTTGTAAAAAGAAAAATATCCTTCGACTTTCCAAAAATAATTAAGACAAACGAATTGAAACGGAGGAGAAATAATACACAAACTCAGTTACATAAAGGTTACACCAACATATGATATTTTCTCAAACAATGGACTTATCATTTACCTCATGCTATTGGTTTTGTAATTTGATCTCCAAGTTTAGGACGATTGAGTCAAAAAAATGTTCCGTTTTTTTTTTGTTAGCCTACTCAGTGTCCGATACTCACATTTAATTTTTGTACTAATTCGAATCGGCCACTAATGCTTGGAGTAGCTTTCCTGGAAAATGAACTGAGTCGAACTTATTTTGGTCCATTGATCGATTCATCTTAACAACAAATATAAAGCAGAAACTTTTCTTCCACAAGCCCAGACACAGTGGTCTTAATAGCATCCATAGTGTATCTGCCTATACAAGAAATTCAGCACTCAAGAGTCATATTATATAAAACTTGTCATCTTTTTTCCATAAAGTAATGCAATATACTATCTGTTTTGGTTCTGCCAAGATAAAACTGTAGTTCGTTTCTCGAGAGAGATAACAACTTCACCAAAGCTGAGTCTTTCTGTAGCACCGAAAAATGGGGAAGAAAAACTCAGTACTTCTATAGCTTATGGGTGTCTATTTCAACAATAGTGAATACCTGAGGCCGGTTGTTAAAATGTGTTTCAAATCTTGGATTCAAGTTGTTAAATACCAACCAGAAAGCTAGTCTTCCACGCGGAGTCCCTACAATAGAAGTCCTATCTATTCCACCTTTAGTTAGTTTTATCTCAGAGAGGGCAAAGTCAAATCAGTTGTACAACAAACATCGGAATCCTTCAAGGTCTTGCTATGGATTTCCTTTTGGCGGACTTGAAGCTCTATTTTCTGTGTTCTCCATAGTTAACGGTGGTTTCTTTTTAGTATTTAAGAAGCTTCTTGCATAAAGGGCCCCAAAGACGATAACCTGAAAAAAATAATGAAACTAACCGTAAAACAACTTTCTCCCCAAATAAAACAAAAAAACTGAAAGTTTCAGCTTCCAAAGCCAAGAGACAATGAAGTAAATGCTTACAGCTCCAACGCATTGCTCCCAGCTGAGGGGATGGCCAAACCACAAGCATGACAGCAAAATGCTCAACAACTACATCAATTTAATCGAGCATCATCAGTATTGGTTAGGCACAAGGCCACCAAGGGTGCGCTTGGTAAGACACAAGTCATTTTCCTAGGATTGAAAATATTTATGGTGTTTGGTTTGTGAGTGAAAAACATTTTCCAGAAAAAATAATCTATTAAAAATCAATAATAATATCAGCTAACTGGTGAGTGTTTTGATGAAACTTTTGAATACTAGAGACTAATATTAGATAGTCATAAGGAAAATGATTTTCATGCAGAACAGAACTGGCAATAGCTGGGACATCCATGCCATCTCAGGAGATTGGTACAGGATTGAGAGGTGGATAGTCTATTAAGCCTGCTGCCCAAACTGGACTAGCACCATAGTAGAAGACACAACTGACTCCTTGATCTGGGGACACAACAAGACTCTCTGTGAAAGAATGCTACACTCTCGAAATGGAATAATTGACTCTTGGCCTAATATGGAGGAAAAAATTACCACCCAAAGTTTATCTGCTTCAGCTAGATTACCTTAAATGAAGATTGTCTTTCACAAGATACCCTCAACAGAAGGGGCTTTTAGTTTGCTCACAGATGTCATACGTGCCAAAATAGTCCTAAGACACTTGACCATCTTTTCGTACATTGTGCAATCATTGCTGACCTGTGGAACATGTTTTTATTTTTGGACTTCACTGGGTCATGCCACATAATGTGAAAGAGGCCTATGCTAGTTGTAGTCTATGGAGAGTAATAAAAACATCAAGAAGACTTGGTTAATGATCCCTGCAATAATTTTTCTTTTTTGGGTATTGTGGACCGATAGGAATTGAAGAGGTTTTGATGGAATCTCAATGCCTAATCACTCCATCAAAGCTAGATGTTTACTAGCACTGACCATTTTCCGGACTTTGTTAGCTCCCTAGTCATAACTTGATATACAGTTATAAAGAGTTAATTTGTTGCATCTTTTTGCTTACTCTGTACTTTTGTACTATTGCATCTTTCTTGATGTCTTTCAATTAACGAAATACCTTGCCCAAAAAACAAAAACTTCCACCCACAAGTGAGGGAAGTCATTTTTCTCCTTTTTGATAGAAAATGTAAAACATCGAAAATGATTTCCGTCATACCAAACAGCAGAAAATGACCTGGAAGTCATTTTCCCCTTCCCTCATATCAAACACATCCTAAGTGGAGAGCATAACACTTTCTCAAACCCTTGAACTATTTCTTATTACCTGTCTTGTGGTCATAATGGTTGCAAAGGTTAGAGCACCAAATGTGCGGATTGTGTACGAAATGAAGAATTGACTAGCTGTTGCTACCTGTAACAAAGAACGTAAACAGATATAATTACATTTTAATGACAGAAACGAGTCTGCACAATTTGGCAGAGAACAGAGAATCTCCATTTAAGAAAATCAAGATTTATCTATTTTAAAACAACTTACAGTCGAAAGCAGAGCAATGTCAAAGAAACAATCATGATGGCGAGATACGAAATCAATTGCCATGAGAAGATTGCCTTGCATGATCATACCTAAATGGGAAATAAAACACTAGTCATATCTAGTCATTAGAACATAAACTAGATAAACATTCTCAACACAAACTTGGGATACCCATAAACATTTAAAATGTGTCATTCAACTGAATATCCTGCCTAACAAAAAAAGACAATACATGCATATCATTGAACCTTACGTTCTTAAGTAGCTGTCAAGAATTTCTGCACTTGTGAATGCAGATGTCTGGGATGGAGTTCCATCCACACTCATGTAATAGAAAGCTCAAATAATATGCAGTACACAGCATGGATGTTATTACGAACATTGAGGAAACTTGGAAGGCACATAGTGCTAAGAATAGTCAAAATTTTGGATCTAAACTGAAACGTAATTCAAGGCCAAACACACTTGAGCTTGGAAGCTAACCAAGCCTTCATACTCATCAGCTGTTGCATGAATTTGCATTTCAGATAATTTATAGAATCAATTTAAATGTTATCAGCAAATATCTACAACAACAACAACAAACCCAATGTAATCCCACAAGTGAGGTCTGGGGAGGGTAGTGTGTACGCAGACCTTACCATATCTTGTGGAGGAAGAGAGGTTATTTTGCGATAGACCCTCGGCTCAAATAAAGAAAAAGAAAGCATTTCAAAGCAGTTTGGGAAAAAAGAAAGTGCAAAAGTGAAGCAGCCAGGGTAAATTCTAAGGAAGGATTACATAGCATTCTAAAAGAAAAACAATAACAATAGCTAAATAATACGATAACCAAAGTACAAGAAACAACATATAGCAACAAAAATCGAAGAACAAGAAACTACGAGAATAACACTAATACTACTGGTATGAAAGGAGAAGCAGATACGGTGCTCCAAACTACCACCAAGCCCTATCCGACAAGAGAGCGAGGCAACACTCAACCAACAACTAACCATCCACCGTGATTTATACGTCTTCCCAGCAAACCATGGAAATTATTGGAGATGACAAGCTTAGTGAGAAGACATGGAAAATAACAAAATAGTTAAATTTGTAGAGAAGTGTTCAGCAGCTAGTCCGGTAATCTTTGTAGATGTAAGATTGAATTTTTTTTTAACCCTGGTGTTAGGGTTGCACGCACTTCGACTAATTCCAGAGGATGGGAAGAAATCACCTAGTGTTTTTGTCTCCGCTAGGATTTGAACCCGAGATCTCATGGTTCTCAACCCACTTCATTGACCACTAGGCCACACCCTTGAGTGCGTAATATTGAATCTTAATATCAACTCCAACACACTACTCATTAGTTGCAGAAACTGGTTTTGCAACTGCAATAATTGAGATCTTACCAGTGAAACTAAGAAGACAAGAACAGACAGTTGTGTAGAATATCTGAGTGTGTATTTCCATATCATAGCCTTTAAAAAGTTTATCCTGGAATGTGCTCGTAAATCCATCAAACCTGTGAGATCAAATGCTTTATTAAAACCTTGTTTCAGAAGCTAACAAACTACTATTCAATTCTAAGATAACAAAATTTCTCCTTTTAATAAAAACTAATGAAAGAGAACTGAATAAGGGTATATTTGCCTCTTAAGTTAGAATTTTGTATCTGCTTGTGGGGTGAAGTTTTGATATTTTTATTTTTGACTCCTATCTCAAAATAACTCATCTGCTAGTGAACAATTAGAAGAGCTTGTTGAGCAATAAGGTAAATAGAATTGTAAGAATTTGTTGCAAAAGCAAAAGAGATGGATTTGATATGCCAAGTAACATATAATTTGTTCACCAGAAATCTAACAAAAGATGACTTTCTAGTTTCTATGTATTAAGTGTTAATCGTTCATACGGTCTATAAAGCACATTCTGATCTTTCTCCACCTTTGATTGACTTGGATGCTCCAATCATAGAGCATTAGGAGTCAGATTATTTTTTCTGGATATCTTAGCGAATAAGGTGAAAGACAGTATATCAAGGAAGGAAAAAGAGAGAACACTATAAGAACCTTTAAGATAAACAAAACTCATTCAAATACAAGATATGAGATAGAAAGCTTGAACCTAGTTTTCTAGATCTCTGGCACACATTCGCAAGAAAGTCTCAAGTTAATCGAATCCAGCTGGTTCTCTTAACATTCATTAATTCAATGACCAAAGGTTTAAATGTTGGATTATATCAATTCATACCCAAGATAGCCCATCATAAGAGAAACTCCCCAAATGGTGCTCTCCCTTTCTCTACTGTATGGGCTAGTGTCCCCTTCTGCCTAGAACCAAAAACAAACTGTAAAAATATTGCCTCGAGGATATAACTGCACAGGAAAATATATTCTGAACACTACCCAGCACAAACACGTGTGCCAGAAACAATAATCTTGTTAGTAAGTCCGTATATTAGTTTGGAGAATCAGCCGCTAGAACATAATTCTGTTTCGGGCTAATAAATTGTACTCCCTCTAGTCCATGTTAAGTGAATTGTTGGGACTTCTTTCATAGTTCAAAATAAGTGAATAATTCAAAGTTCAAGAAAATTGTCGGGACTTTTTTCCATATTTAACCTTCATTTAATAAGGTTCTTAACTACTTTACATTTTCTAGGAGACTAGTTTGGAAATAATCAAAAGGGTAATAGTGGAAAGTAGCCTTCAATTTATGTCCTTAAGCATTTTCCTTAAAGGGTGTGTCATACCCCAACAATTAACTTAATATGGACTAGAAGGATAAAATACCTGGCTTCAGAACAGTCCCTCAACAAGGTAAACAGTATAATGTCATGCAATCGTTCATTCGAAAGATATGGAATCAGTAAACTATTTGTTCTGGTGTTTCAGGTCAGCATGAAAGTTCTAGGGAGCCAGTAGGTGCAGTAGAAGCTGCCCATTTAATGTCTTCCCAATAAAAGAGTGTAGGAATTTCAACCCAGTAATCCCTCATTCAGAGCTCGTAACATATTTAGGCCATTGCACCTGTCCATTAGACATGTATGTTTCCATACCTCCGAGTTTTTGGAGATCCAGTACAACAACTATACCTTAATCCCAAGCTCTATAGTTGGGGTTAGGTATAAAATCCCCTCTATCCATTTTGCTCCATTTGAAACAATATTTTTCCATTATCCAATAATTTAGGTTGTCTAGCACTAATAGTTCTTTATATTTTCTAATGGCATACAAATGTAGAAGATTAAAATGACTCCAGCAAACATTGGACCTTACTGTAAGCTTATCAACATGATTGTGTCTTAATCCAGATGGAATCTCACATATATGGATCTTTTACTTCCATTGTGTTCTATTTTTCCCTAAATCTGCAAGATTCCCAGAGATTACAAGTCTTTTGAGACAACGTCTCCTCTGCTAAATCATGGCTACTAGAAAAGGTTAATACAAAGCAAAAGATTTATGAAGGATTCATGCAAAATAATTCGTATAATAATTTAGCTTAGTGGCAATTCAGAGAAACACAAAGGTGTTTAGAAGAAGACATTAGTTATTACCGGATATAGAATAAATAATGAACAGCCAAGTGTGACTAGGAATGCCACGAAATAGTCCTGTCCTTTGTACTTCTTTTGCATGATGATAGTGCCCCAGATCTGCATGAATACAAAAGGAAAAGTAAGATGAGTATCAAATTGGTAAGCATACTCAATAGTGTTTTACTTGTATAAACAAAACATTGTAGGTGAGACAATGTATAACTACGAGATGCAAAGAGGCAGAATAACAAATGAAAAAAGGTTACTTTTAACTTTAGCAAATGAGGTGGTTTTTATTGAAATTATGTCCTAAAATAGCCAAAAGAATACCTAGAAAACACCTTATAACTTTAGTTTTAGTGCGCTTCACCAGTTAAATTTTTCATACAAATGGGCAAATTCACATTTCATTGTTTCAAAGTAGATGGATATGGTATCACGGGCCAGAAGTCATAGCTACAAGCCTTTGAACAGCAATGCCAACACTCAAACAAATTATATAATTGAAGCTGACTACATAATTCCAAACCAGTCTTACCAGGAACTATAAAAACTACATTTTCCAGCAATTACAACACAACCTAAATGGCAAGTTAACTTACCATTACAGGTATCATTTTGGCACATTTTGCCAGGGTTTGAACAGGAAAGCTGACGTATTTGAGAGCCTGAGCAAGAATCAAAACTATCAGTACTTGTTAGATATTACTTCACAATTGTCAAAGCTCTTTACATCTTTTCTGTCCAAATCTTCTATGTGTTTGTTTTTTCTTTTCACAATCTTCTTTGTTTAATGCTTACTATATGTATTCTCCTTTGTCTTTTACTTCATTTTCATGTAACCATAAGGAAGAAGATAAAACTTGCCTCGTACTGACAAGTTGTTGTAAGGATGTTAGACACAGAAACAATACAATACTTATGGAGTGGAGCTACTGGGTCCAATGCCTTCTTACTTGCCTGCAAATCAGAGAATTGGAGGCAAATGCTTAGTACGGTGTGTGACAAAATTCCCAAGAATCACTTGTCAAATACTGAAGACTTCATTCCCTGCCTTGTCAAGAGGCTCTCAAAAGAGATTGGAATCATGAAGGGTACATTTGCAGTATTAGATGAATAAGTCATCTGTGCTTATAGCCTGGAATTGTACCAGTAAAACTCCAGCAGAGACAGCAGAGGTGGTAATCCGATTGCAGAAGACAAGAAATAATGAGTATATAAAATAGTCTTTGTTTGGTCCATAAGGAACTCTCATGATCTTTTCCTGCAAGAACAAATTTCATCACCATGTCAAGGAAATAAAAATATGCAATATCCAACTTAAATGCAAAAATGTGTTGCTTTATAAATATGGGATTAAACATGAGATCAACGTAACCAGTTGAACAGCGCATAGATGCTGCTATACTTATAGATGCCATTTCTCTGAAATATGCAGCTAAAGAAACAAAGTGCAGACGAAACCTCAAATTACTTGTGTTAACTGGAGAAGATGCCCTTTTGTACTAAGTTGTATCTTCAATTTAAGAAAACTGGAGAAGAGGATATAGATCAAGGAATTGAATGCTACAAAGATCATTGTCAACAGCTGCTTCCTACGTGATCACATCAGTCCTTCATTTTTGGTGCGCGGGGTATAAGTTACTATGAGTCTATTTAACATGTAAACTCTGGAAGTAAAAGAAAGAAAATGCAGCAGACTTTGCATGAGAATCAATTGAAAACAGAAAAGAGACATATAAACACAGAGAGAAGAGTTGTTTTATGTGTAATACTGGTAAGATGCCTAAGTAGAATCTAGATGACTATATTGCACGATGTGGCTCCCACTGTAAAACTCAAATGATGTCTAAATTACAACATACTCGGGTTAAGTGTTAGTTAGGGCGCATATGGCCTAAGCACTTGAACTTTGGAAATGGGCATAGGAACAAATTTGCAAAAATGATAACTGCTAAAGAGAATAAGTGAATGTAGACTACTTATTATTAGTTATTAATGAAAGAACCTAAAATTTTGTAGTTTTCCTTTATGCTAATTTGTTTTATAGCATGCTAAATATAGTATTATGCTCTATTCCTCTCCTCCATATGCTCCCCTTCAATTCTTTTTCTTTTTCCTTTTCTTTTTTGGTAGAAATAGAAGAAGGGTGAGTTAGAACTCTAATTCAAGAGCCCTTACTCAAAAGGGCTTCTCTTCCTCTTAATGTCAGAAGTCAAATGGTTAAGTCTACTTGGAGCAACTGGGCCAGACAATATTGATAGCAAAGTTTTTGTGGTAAGGTACAAAGCTTTTTGCCTGGGTCTCTGACAAACGTACTCAACTGGCACAAATAGAATGGCTCATCCAATGAGTGATGACACTAGCGAGTAAACTGCAAAACGGTCTTGCTAGGTATAGTCCAAGCTGATTAGTTAGTTATAATTAGCTCATATATGAGTTATTTTCTCGGTTTCGGTTGCTTGACTCAATAATGCCCTTCAAAGTCACGGACTCCATTGTTAGGGAATGGTTGAACACTGGAATTACACAATTGTAGCTACTCACTATGTTTTGGAAAGTCATTACACACATATAAATTGACTGTACACAACATAGATCTCATAGCCACTGCCCATTCATGACAAGCCCTACACTATTGCTTGTAAGAGAAATGTTGAAGAGCTGGGACCCCCAGTTATCCCGCTGAAACAGTTCCATACTCGTCATCTATGGATTGGTTTGAAGAGAGAATAACCCTCCATCTTTGAGTTCTTCTTGAAACATCACACATGAAGTGATGGTAACTTTAGCAGCTTTATTTAAGTAATCTCTCAAATGAGTATGTCAGATGTGTTACATGAGATCCATACTTCCAAAATACTGTATAGGAAGATGAATAAAGTGACGTAGCTCAATCATACTGACTTGTATTGGCATAATTTTTGCAGAGAGAAATATCTCAATAGCTCTTTTGCATGTATATTTCTCATACATAAAGTCCTTGTGCCTCTTTTAACTTGCTTATCGAGAGATTCTTTAGAAGAGAACTTTTCCTGCAGGCCTCTTCTGACTATATAATGCACTTATAAGAGTTTATTTAGAACAGAACTTGTCCTGCAGGACACCCGCACCTTGTGGCTTCCTCTGTAAAATCCTTTGGGCCCCTTGAAAGCACAAATCTTGAGTACTAAAAGAATTTGAAACATTAATACAATACTATAACTACACGAAACAACAAATAGTAATAGAAATCGAAGAAAAAGTAACTACAAGATTAATACTACGACTATAGTAGGACGACAAGACAATGCACGCGTACCTACTAGTATAGACGCACTTCTACCTACTAACCTTCTTCCCTAATTCATGTCCTCCACACCTATCTATCTAAGACCATGTCCTTGATAAGCTACAACTGCGTCATATTCTGTTTAATCACCTCCCCCCAATATTTCTTCGATCTACCTCTACCTATCCATAGCCAAATCATGAAGGAACAAGTCCTTTAAAATAAATAAATTGAAAATGCTTTATGCTAAAATTTAATACCAAAAACGTTCCTTTCATTGATTCCTAATAAGAAATGGAACACTTAAACTTCTAGAATTAGGAAAATTAAAGCATATTAGGCAAGAACTAGCCCAATGCTCTAAAAGCTTAAATACCCCAAGCTATTCCTCCATTTCATCCTGTTGCATACTTAACATCAAAAACTTTTCGGATTATCAAATTTGTTACAAGAATTTACATATTCAACCCAAACTTTAAGGCAATGAGTAGAGTGGTTGTCCAATCCTTTTTCAACTCCCAATGAGTAGAGTGGTTGTCCAATCCTTTTTCAACTCCTTTAGATGCACTTGCTTATTCAATGAGAGCCTTTTATATATAACTCAATGTCCTTCTGCAAGTGTAACCTAAATCTGAAGTTCACACACGACTCCATGCAGAGCTACGAGTATGAATATTGGTGTGCCAACGGTTGCCAACTTGACCTAGTAAAGAATCTAAATATTTAAACCAAAATCTAGCGGCAAGAGTCGAGTCGACCAAGACCTTTAAAAACCCTTTCTATTTCTTTATATATCCGATGTCAGATAAACAACTCAACAATGTTCCAACGCATTAGACAAAAACGTCTTAAAATGCTCTACGTAGTATACACTAATAACTAAAGCTTATTTTTCCCCTTTTTATGTCAATTGCATATGAATAAGTTACCAAAGTTGCAAGTATATCCCCCTCATATTCCTTTTCCCTTACGGGCATACGTAGTACTCTCTTCCTAAATCCCTTAACAATATTGTACAATTACATTTACCACTCCTACCAAAATAAGTACCGAGCAATACAGTGATACTTAAAGCAATTATACATTTTCATAATGTAGAACATACTCTATTTGTTTCACTTTATTTGACATTCTTTCCGTTTTAGAACATCCCAACGTGATTGCACCATTTCTTTTCAATCAAACTATCCCTAGTTCCAATCATTCAAATTAAACAAAATTCAAACTACAAAAGTTGATGTGATACTTTTTATATCAATCCGACTTTGCAACCATCAATTTGCTATTTTCTTTCGCTACCACTGAAATAATTCACTAGTCAAAATGCATATCTCAAACTCCATGCTCAGTCAAATAGAGTCATTTAAATTGAAATACATACAAAGTTTGATCACGCTTATTTCTAATCACATAAAATATGTAATGAAGATGATGATTTTGAGAAATATGCCTGTAATATTCCGTAGATGACGAGAGTAGACATGATTCCGCCCACAGCAAAAACTCCTTTGAAAAGCTTGTTGTCCTTCAACGGCGGCGATAGTGGCTCCGCCATATCCATCCAATCTACCCACCGCAGCCACCTCTATATACAATACAACACACAAAACACCTATGCGCAGCTGTGTGTGTTTCGTTTTACGTTATATAAATGTAAAAAAGGGATAAAGGAGAAAGTGAAACATGAAGATCACTACGGATTGAGAAGTCTACGGAAGGTCGCCGGAGTCCCGTTCTGCAGATCGCCGGTGATTTTACTCCGGGAGGGAAGTGGAGAATGAGGTTTTAGACAGGGGAAATGACCGCTTTCCTCTTTTTGATGTTCCGTTTTCGAATATCTTTTTTAATTTATTTTTTCGGTAATTACTGTGGGACACGTCAGATGAATGGGACCCACTCTGAGACTGTAACGGCAAGGACACAGTGAAACTTGAAGTTGAAACTGTTGGTGAACATTTTCCGAGTTTGTTTGGATTGACATATTTTAAATGATTTTAAGTTAAAATAGTTTTTAAATATTTTTAGAGTGTTTCAATTAATTTTAAAAATACGTATAAGCATATAATGATAAAAATAAGTTAAAATTATATGCTCTTGGTATTGAACATTTGATAGTTGACGATTAGTACAAACTTTCCACTTGTAGTTGTATGTAAGGAAATTATTCTGATCAAGGTAGTTGAGGTAATGATTAATGAATATATACTTTTAGAATAGAATGATTTATTTATTAATGTAGTTATACCATAATTTGTGGTGAATTTCGAGCTCACTTGACAATACTAAATCAGACAAGAATTATAAATGTACAAGAAGAAAAACAATAGAGGATCAAAAAACTCATTTTATTTTTTTTTGAAGAAAAAAACATGAGAAAAGCTATTTTATTTATATAGCAAAGGATATTATCAACAACTATATTGTGTATTATCAAAAAAAGTCATAACTCACTCGATGTGAATGTGTTATTCAAATTTTATCTTTTCTCTTGGTGTCTTTCGGACATGTGGTGAATTTCGAGCTCACTTGACAATACTAAATCAGACGAGAATTATTAATGTACAAGAAGAAGAACAATAGAGGATCAAAAAACTCTTCTTTTTTTTTTTGAAGAAAAAAACATGAGAAAAGCTATTTTATTTATATAGCAAAGGATATTATCAACAACTGTTATTGTGTATTATCAAAAAAAGTCATAACTCACTCGATGTGAATGTGTTATTCAAATTTTATCTTTTCTCTTGGTGTCTTTTGGACAAAAACATTTCACTTCTCATTCACACCTTTTAAAATTCAAGAATCTCAATTCAAAAAATGTTTTCTAGTAACCGAACAACATAAACTAAGTTGCTTTCTTGACTACTACATCAACTATATGTAGGGATGGCAATGGGGGATGTGAGGGGGGTGGGTTCAAGGCTATGTGGGGCGGGTGGGACGCGGGACGGGTTGAAGTGGATTTTTTTAAAACTAATGTAGGGAGGGGCGGGGCGGGTTGCTGGTATATGTGATTTTATGTGGGTTTAATTCTAATTCTTTAATGTTATAAGAGTGATAGAGCATTATTTATTAAGATAATTTCTTTAAAGCTACTAAAATATTCAAGATAGTAAATAAAAATGGTTCAATAAAAGCAATTCAATTTCGTACGTGTTTTCAAATTGACCTCTAAAAATAAAATTTTAGGTCACTATCTTATAAAATTAATACAACTTAATGAAAAATGAATTTTATTTTTAGAATCAAACTTAACTAGAAAAAAAAAATATTAAAGAAAGTATGTAGGGCAGGTTATGCGGAGGGGTTCTATATGGGGCAGGGTGGAACGGGTTGAAAATGAAAAAAAAATGTTATGCGGGGCGAGGCAGGGCGAATTGAATATTTTACGAGTTAACCTCAACCCACCCGCCCGCACCACCCCATTGCCATCCCTCACTATATGCTACCTCCCATCAAATGTTTAATGTGTACCATGTACTTGTTGAGTTAGTTAGTAATATTTGAAGGTCTTAAATTGAACAAACACATTTGTTCATGAAACATAATTTTTTGAAAAGTCTAACCCTCATGATGTGTAAGGACTCTATTGAAGTATCAGAAGTTAATTTGCAATATACAAGTCTTTGTTGAATTTTAAAGGTAATTGCTTGTGATTTTTCATGACAAAGTCAATACTTATGCAATTGGTCTGTTTTCCCAACAAGACTTGCAACATATGAAAAGAAATCACAAAGCGAATAAAAAAAATGTTGAAACAGAGATGGAATCATTAAGTTAAAGCTATTTCACTTTTAAAAAAATCAGTTTTATACAAAAATATTGTGTCACTGCAACCTTTGTCTCTTGTCTATATGGACAAAATTGTTACAATTTGGACCTAAATAAGGTGACAACATTTGTGATGATGCACAAGACATCTCAAAATAAGGTTGAGTATTGTTGATCAATGATGAACCAAATTGACCATAATTATTCATCATCATCCCACCTTCACAACTTTTAATCGTAACCGGAGGAATATGTAACGGTTTAAATTGAGGCGGATTACGCCATCTAGGTAGTGGACCAGCTACAAGTAATGTTTGCAATAGTGGACCTGATTCAAGCACAGCTTGTAGAAATTTGCCTTGTTGAGGCAATGTCTTCCCCTTGACAAGTCTATCGATAACCAACGAACCTTGATCATCATCATCATCAATTTTAGCTACTTGTTGCGTGATAACAGGAACAATGTAATTGGAAAGGTGATCAGGAGATGAAACAACATCCAAAAATGACTCAATAGGAGATGAATTGTTGTATGTTTCACTAAGACTATTTGATTCAATTGTAGTAGTAGCATGAGGACTACTATCAATATTGTTGATTTGAGATTGATTTATTTTGTTGAGTAATTTGTGAAGGTGATTTTTTGCATCATCTCTTTCTTGATAAGCTAATTTTATGAGATGGATTAATTGATTGTTCTTCCTCTTTTCTTCACTTGCTTCCATATTGAGTCTTTCAACTTCAAGACTTGTGTACAAAAGCTTTTGTTTCATTTCATCCATAGTCTACAAAAAAGTCACAAAAAAAATATAATCAATTTTTTTAACTCATTTCACATAGTCATGAAAGAAATATTAATATAATGAATGCAATTAATAGAATTTTCAAATGCAACTACTACTTTTTTTATATAATTGTTAGAATATAAATAAGTTATTATTATTCAAAGTTGGGAGTACTAGCAAAGTCATAAAGAGGGGCCATTAGGAAGGTCATGAAGCTTATCAGTCAGCACCAAATATTATATAAAATTAGAAAAGTAATGACACAGTTCGAATTTTGAGAGTCAAATTTTTAAATTTTGAAGGTAAAGTCAATCATAGAATTTTAAAAATTTTACATTTTTGGAATTTACCGAAGAGTATATATAATTAACAATTCAAAATATCTAAAAGACATATTTTAAAAATGTAATTAAAAAACTTACTTATTTGACTTTCAAGTAGCACATAAATTAAGAGGAAAGAAGTAAATGTGAACAATGATTAATTCTTAAAATTCACTAAAGATTACCCCTATGTCACTAGTATAATAGTTTTACCCAACAAAAGTTTGTAGTAAACCACTAAGCCAACAATAAAAACAATAACTACTATGTCTCAATACAATTATCCAAATTCTATGAACTCAACTGGTCCATAAATTTCTATCTAAGCTCGTCTCAGTCCAATATTATAAAATCACCAACTATGAAAAAGAAAATTCAACATCATTTACTTTTACAAAATTCAGTAGTGGCCAATTCAATAAATCATCAGTACTTTACATACAAAAACAGAGTAAAATTGGACACTAAAACCAGACTCTATGAACCCAAGGAAAGGCTACCCAATAACAGTACTGGGCGATTCAAATGTAACCAAACAGAACTCCAACTTAAATGATGCATTCATAACCCAATGAGGTTTTTAAAAAACCAAATTTTAATAAGAGGCCTCTGGATGATACTAGAAGAAACAAGAAAATAAATGATTTACCTCTTGGTAACTCCATAAAGAATCAATTTCTTCCATTTTTTTTGTATGAACTTGAAAGAAGAAGTAGAGGAAAAAAGAGAAGATAATATTGAAAAGATATTGAGAGGGAAGTTTTATATAAGAGGTGAGTGAATTGTAATATGTATTTTATAGAAGGAAACAAGAACCAAAAAGGACAAAAGAAGGTATAGTATAGACCAACCAATCCCCACCATAGAAAAGGCAAAAATATTTATGGAATCTTAATAAAGACCTTCCATAAACATAAAATTTAAAAGATTTTACTCTCTTTAATTTGTTTGTCTTATTTTTTTAGTTTGATTTTAAAAAAATGTATCTTTTCATTCTTTTGAAAACTCTTTTATTTCAAAACCGAATAGTATTTTGGTATATTTTATAAATCTTTAGTGTAAGAACGGAAGATTCATTTTTTTCTTTTACTTTTTTAAACTTTATGTCAAGTCAAAACTAGACTAACAAATTAAAACATAATTAAATTGTATACACTGACAAATATAAAATAAATATTTTATACAATTAGATCACTCGAAAAATAATGAGTATCGAACTCATGGGTGAAGCTAGGGGTAGAAGAGGATTCATTCAAAAAAAAATCTATCGAAAAATTATATCATATATACAAAGTTAATATTATTTTTTATGTATATATAATAAATATTAAATTTATCAGCTTTATCGTATAGTTATTTCTTTACATTTTTAAATTCTCTAGTAGAAAATTTTGATTCCGTCACTGATTAAACAATTTACAATTAGATCAATCAAAAAGATAATGAGTGTCAAACTCATGGGTGGAGCTAGGGAGGCGAAGGGGGTTCATCCAAACCCTTCGCCGAATATTTAGATTATATATAAGGTTAAAATTATTTTTTTAAAATATCTTTCTTTATATTTTGAAATTTCTTAATGAAAAATTTGTCTTTTTATCATTAATCAGACTATTTAGATGACATTAACAGTCAATAATGTAAAAAAGTTCATGTTTGTGCATATAATTTAAATATAATTTTTTTAAAAAAATATTCTAGAAAACTCATTATCGCTATTCTTGGAGTGCACACCGTAAGTAGTAATCCTCTCTCTTTCATAAATAGTACAATAAATCATATTGTCAATGACTAAAATCCAGTTAGATTTTCCTTAAATATTCCATTGAGTTT